TCAGATAACTCTATTCTGAATCATGACAGCTGGAATTCTGAATCGGGCGGATTCAATTCTGAGGTAAAGCACATACTCAAACTACAGGATGCGAACTTCAAATAATTTGGTCATATGTATATCTTAAATAAAGCTGCAATAGAAACTATGTCAAAAGCTTTACAGCTTTACTGTGACTATAACATTAATTCGTTCAATTATTGTATAGATCTTATGTAACAACCCATGCTTTTTTTGAAAGCTTATTCACACAGGTATATATGAAAATTATGTGATTTTTATATATACCCATGCAAATGGATTATTTTTCACAATTATACTTTTTGACTGGATAGAGACTAATATTAGAACTAGTATGAAATATTGCAATTGTCTTTTTTTTTTATTATGAAATTAAGCAAATATAATTTTCGCAAATAGCTGATTACAGTAATAAATCATAGAAATTTTTTATTTAAAAAAAAAAATCATTAATGAAAAAAAAAAAATTCAATAAAAAAAAATCATTATTGAAGAGAAATCTTCAAATTAATATCCAGCCACTTCTCAGTGTCTGGAATTTGAATAATAATATTATTGGTGACTTGTTGCAATGCCCTTCATTTTTTTTTAATAATTGGTGCCAGTGTTTATTTATCTTTGTGATGCTTGACTTGTTCATCTTTGTAATGCTTGACTTGTTCATCATTATGATGTTTAATTACATAATCATGATGGCTAGTTCTTTCTTGGTCATCATCATAATGTTCGATTACATAATCATGGTGGCTAGTTCTTTCTTGGTCTTGATAATTATGTCATGCTTGTTCTACTTGTATTGCTTAATTATGATGATCGAGCTGTGTATTCTTGCGCTTAATTACTGAACTTTTAAACAGCATCAAAAGTTTTGAATTCAAATTTGATCTAATTTTTTTTTTTTACAAATTTATCTAAAAAAAAAAAAAGTTAAAATCTAATTAAAATATTTTTAACTAAATAGTAATAAAAAAATAGTTTACTTGAAATTAATCCCTTGGGGGTTGGGCTTAATGATTCTTGATTTTGTATTGCTTTTAAGATTGAATTTAAAATCTCTTGCCATGATAGTAATTCTGAAGTTGGATCTGAAAGTTCTTGACTTGGATTTGACATACTTGAAATCTCCATTTTTAAAATCTCTAAAAGATAAGTAAATGCAAATTAATATCATTTGTTTAATATATAGACTAATCTATTTCATCATTTTCATCAGATATGTAATTAATATAAGAATCTTCTGGTAAAGAATAATAAGATTTGAGATTTTCATTGTAAGCTGTATAAGGAATTAGCAGTACTGTGAATGATAACCATTGATCATTCGTTGGACTGCTATAAGCCTGAATACCTTCACGTGAACAATGCCTGAAAATATCATAGCTTCATCTTTGGGAATATCAAATGCCTTTAACATCATAATTGCAGTATGTTGACCACTATGTTTCATTATTTTTCTTCCTTTAAGATCAATTCCTGTATTGACTACTATCTGTTACATTATTGACTTTAGCTTGTTCTCACCCATCCATGAATCTTTATACCAAATACTATTTTTAACTTCTAAAAAAAAATAAAATAAAAATTGTTAAAATTTATTTTTCAATTATTAAAAATACAATAACCAAAGCCCATAATTGCCAGTATGTTTTCTCATGCATTGTAAGAATAAAGAACCAGATATACAATTAGTAAGATGCATTGATAAGTAAAGAAGAAGATCCTTGATAGGTGTAAACTGATTATCGACATGATCAGATGGAATTGGAATAAATCATGTTCCAGTATGACTATAATGTTGTCAATAGAGCACTCCATCTTGATTATTTTTTTCTTTGTGAAATCTTAATTAAAGACCACCCTCATTTCATCTCTCAAGATCACGATAATCCAACCTATATGTATTGCCTACTCTTAATCCACAAAACAATAACAACCAAAAGAATATCCTCCTAACTAAACCCTTATTATTACCAATTGACAAATAATCATAGTTTAAACAATATATAATCTCATTTAATGTTAACAAATCACTTTTCAATGTATCACCATAACCATCATTTTGCAAAGATTTTATCTTTCCATCCAAATATCTCAGTGCTCTAGGAAATGAATACTTATCCCAGATTCAAACACCACCTTCAATAGCAAAATTTTCACAGAGATATTTTGCTAATGCAGCATAGCAATTATGAATAGATTCAACTTTAAATGGCATACCATCTTTTTTCGTAAGCCAACGATTTTGAAATCTTTTTTTCATTCCTATACCGATTTACATGCCACAACCACTTTGAAGTGTTTTTTTCAGTATTCGCATCAAATGAAAGATTTATTAAACATTGTGCTTCAGGATCGTCGATTATAAGATTGCTACGAGGCATTTTAAAAATAAAAGGTTGAAATTAGTAAGAGAAATTTAACGAATGACTAAAAGAAAAAAACAATTTAAATAGTGACACAAAAAAGTTTAATTTATTAAATACTATATAATAGTAAAAGGGACGCACAGGTTGTTACGTCAGACCCATATGATAATATAGTTATTATATGATATGTGTGTGTAAGTAATTATATACACATATCCATACAATAACTATAATTTATTATATACAAAATAATATATGAAATTATTTAAAAAGAGAAACAAGGATTATGATCAAAGTCACGTTAAAGTTCTCCGATTGGTTGATATTTATTGACATAATATCTGGATAAAAAATTGGATTTATAAATCTAAAATAAAAATCCGGCGCTTTTCAAAAATAATATCTGTGTAGCGGCTTAGTGAAGTGGTCTCATTTTTTCTCTATATTCTCTATTAGTGTTTTTAACAAGTATTTCTATTCGTTCTTTTTCTGTTAATTCTTTTTCTCCAATCTTTATGTCGTATTTG